ACGAGTCGGCGATCGTCGCGCAGTTCTTGGACGCCAAGTACAACGACGGGAAGCTCCACAGCCGCGACAGCCCCGAGCGCGCGGCGTTGGCGCAGCTGGCCCAAGCCAAGATTGAGGCTGGCCCGTTTTTCGCCCTTCTTCTCAACCAAGACCCGGCCAAGAAGGACAAGCTCGAGGCCAACCTACGCGATTCGCTTGGCGAGCTCGAGAAGATCTACCGCGACCACGCGGCCGACTTTCGCGCCGACGGCCCGTATCTTCTCGGCGCCGACCTCAGCAGCGCCGAGATCAGCATCGTGCCGTTCCTCTTCCACTTCAAGCACGTTCTTGGTCACTACCGCGACTTTGACGTGACCAAGGGCTTTCCGCTTCTCACGGCGGCGTACGAAGCCGCGATCGCACGCCCGGCGTTCAAGCGCTCGGCGCGCGACCCCGAGTACTACATCCATGCGTATGCCACGTACGCCAACCCGTGAACAAGTAGTACTCCTGTGACGACTCGCTAGTCGCTGTAGTATTTGGATGACTAAACCACCAACATGTTTCACATTCATCTCAAAAACTCTGTCCGATCAAGTTGGGCACTCGACACCAAAAACGATTCGTGTCGTATTGACACAACAGATACAAGCTAGACTGTCTACAACCCCAACACTTTGGCAAACGCAAAGCTCACGTTGGTCGAGTGCTCCCGAAAAGGACATTCCTCTAACAAGACCGAGCTACTTGAGGCCGTGTTGGTGTCCGCCATGCCAGAGGTTGGTGAGGCGAGTTAGCTTTTGACTGATACTAGAAGATCGTGGATGGCTCGAGCTCGCTTGCTATGTGCCTGGATCTTGTACGCATTGGAATAGTCGCAACGGGTCGAGCGGCAAGAAGGTACGAAACCAGAAGCTCGTTTTCAGTATTGCTTTTGCTCAATAGGTCTGTCTCCTCGATGGCAAACGGGGGACCTCGGTAGCTTCATCCTCCTGTACCAGTCAACCTTGATCAGTAAAGATGTCGATTGGACTATGTTATTTGTTGTAGGAGTCCCGACAATATGCATTCGGAATCAGTGCTTGACATTAACTTTCTGTGGGTTGGGCACGTCAGGCGATGCACTCGTCCGCGAATGTGAAGACAATGCCGGTATGTCTATGAGACGCATCATCCATACATATGCTAGTTATCAAGAGATCACGATCTCATTTCCATGTCTCTTTTTGCGCACAAAAATAGTCATTCAACACACCAATCATGACCGGTCAACGTCTAACTAGTCGACTACATATATAATTTTTCAGTCTTCGGTAACACATAACGTCTTTGCACCTTGTTTGAATCAGGACCAGAAATGTACAAACTGTACTCTCGGTACTCGCAGTCTGCTCCACATTCCGTTTTGACGTTTTGAAAGAAAGAAAGAGCATAGTGTAGTCAGAAGCAATAAAGACAATTTTTTACGCGTTGGCAAACTTGGCATAGCCCTGGATGTAGTACTCGGGCTCCTTGGTCGTTTTCTTGAACGCCGGGCGTTGGCTCGACGCCTCGAGCGCCGCCGAGAGGAGCGGGAGGCCCTCAAGAATGTCAAAGTCGCGGTAGTGCTTGAGGATGTGCTTGAAGCGGAAGAGGAACGTGACAATGTTGAGCTCGGCGCTGCTGAACTTGTCGCCGAGCAAGTACGGGCCCTTGGACCGAAACTCGGCCGCGTGGTCGCGGTAAATCTTTTCGAGTTCGCTCAGCGATTCGTGCAAGTTGGCCTCGAGCTCGGCCTTCTTGGCCGGGTCCTTGTTGCGCAAAAGGGCGTAGAAAGGGCCGGCCTCAAACTTGGCTTGGGCCAACTGCGCGAGCGCTGCGTGCTCGGGAAAATCGCGGTTGTGGATCGCACCGTTGTTGTACTTGGCATCCAAAAACTGCGCAACGATCGCCGACTCGTACACGGCGTAGCCATTGTCGAGCAAGAACGGCACCGTGTGGTACCGGTTAAAGTTGGCCACGTAGCTCGCCGGCATGTCGCCGAGGTCAATGTTGACGATCTGGAAGGGCACGTCGACTTCGGCGGCAGCCCACAGCGCGCGGTGGCCAAAGGGACACACGAAGTTGTTGAAGAGGTGGACCTTGCCGTCTTTAGTCTTGAAGGAAGCGAGCTCGGCGTCCGAGAGCGCCGTGTACTCGATCACATTGAGGTCGGCCGTCGACATGGGTTCTTGTTCTGGTTTGCTGGAAATTGGAAAATGACGATCAGTGAGACAGGATTTGGCCGCGGGATTTTTCAACATTGACTCTTTGGATTTGTATGCAAGGCGTTGACCAATCAAAACGACGAAGAGGCCAGCGAGCAGTCGCAATGGACCAATCCGAGAGCGGTATTCGTCCAACAGCACGCCAACCCGTTCCGGCGAAGTCGGCGCCCCAACCTTCCGTGCTTCGTCGGGCGGAACCCAGGGAACAAACTTGGGTTGAACTTCCTCCGACAACTATGTACTAGAGTACCAGGTATTGCCCAAGGAAGCAACGCGAGGAGGCACGAGGAGGTATCGACAAGGCATGTGAGATTGTGTTGGTTGAAGGATTATGTTGTAGGCGTCGGGGATGCTGAAGAATCTTGACCCGCCCGCGACAGGGTTTTGTTGCATGGACCATGAAGCCAACTTTTGCAGGAATGAAGCAAAAAGGAATACTACAGGATAGCCGCTACCGCGCGGCGTGATCTCGCGTCAGAAGAATATCCTATCGCTACGGGTATGACTGGTTCTGGCTTGTCAGATAGCGTTATTGCCTCTAAATTCCACATGTGTCAAAGTCGCAGGGAAGGAGTGTTTATATTGAGAAAATTACGGGTTGGCGTACTTGGCATACGCGTTGATAAAGAACTCGGGCTCCTTGATCGTCTGCTTGAACGCCGGGCGCGCGACCGCGGCTTCGTACGCGGCTGTGAGGAGCGGGTAGCCCGTAAGGAGCTCAAAGTCGCGGTAGTGTTTGAGAATGATCTGGAAGCGGAAGAAGAACGGGATGATGTTGATCTCGGCGCTGCTCAGCTCATCGCCAAAGAGGTACGGGCCCTTGGCGCGGAACTCGGCCGCGTGCTCGCGGTAGATCTTCTCGAGTTCGTCGAGCGTCTCGCGAATGTCGGCTTCAAAACTCTCCTTCTTGGTCGGGTCCTGGTTGCGCAAAAGACCGTAGAACGGACCAATTTCAAACTTGGCCTGGGCCAGCTGCGCCAACGCAGCATGCTCGGGGTGGTCGCGGTGGTGCAGCTTGCCGCCGTTGTACTTGACGTCGAGGAACTGCGCAATGATCGCCGACTCGAAGATCGGATTGCCGTTGTCGAGGAGGAAGGGCACGGTGTGGTA